CAGCATTAGCTCTAACTGCCCACAATTAAGTTTTTAAAGGCCTGACTGCTGATTGAAAATATTACCCACTCATCTTCTCCTAGTTTTTTTTGGAATGGATTTGACAATTAGGGGTGATATTCCTTTGTGAAAACAAGTCTTTTGTTAAGTATTTAACAGGCGCTCTAGGGATTTTGGCATAGTGCTAATTTTTTGTACAGTTTATCTGGAGAAGAAACCTACATATTACCAGATGCTGTAAACTCAGATGAGAAAACAATTTATTCTCAATTTGGGTTTTGGCTTCCTGGTTCAGGAAAATAGTGAATATGTACATGGGATAAAGGAAATCTGAACAGTGAAAACGATTGAATTGGTGCATAAATATATGTATATATACCAGTACTTTTTATTGCATAGAAATCTTACAATATTTACATGCATTTCTATATACAAGATTCATATACGCATCTTACAACAAACTTCAAAGATGTGTGCCACCATCCCACGCTGACTGCTAAAGGAGGAAGGAGCTGGAGGCCAAAACTCCCCATGGCTCCCTAGGAGGCCCACCATACTACAGCTTTTTTAAAGAATAGCATGTACACATACATAATGCATATAGACATAACTTCAGACAGGAGATCTGTTTATGCTAGAGAAAGCATGGCCAGTGTGATTTGTGTCGTTTGGTAACTTCTGGATCCTCAGACACATGTTGTCCTTTGGCAGTAGTACCATATGACATTGCTTTCAAGACTATGTTTTTTCACAATGCCCACTCCCTTTGAAACATTGAAAAAATGGCTACTGTTCTGGAGAAAAAAGCCCAAAGTAAAATAAATTAAAAAAATAAAATAGGTGTTTTGTGCAAGCAGGAAACCATCATACACATGGCACAGCAAATGGAACGTATTTAGGCCTGAAATCTTTATAGAGGATTAGAATGAACAATTTTTCAATAAATAAGTTTTAAATACTGTAATTACAGACTGATCTTGCATTCAGTTAAAAGTACTCTCCTGAATATATTTCTGATACACAAGGTCATCACAGGAAGAAATATGACCGGTAATGGTTTTTTTTTGGTTGGTTGGTTGGTTTGGTTAAAGACAGCAGACATTCTCGGTGGAATAACACACAAACATGGATAAATCCCCAATAACTTTGTTTCTGCATAAGGTATCAAGAAGGTCAAAGTAAATTTGTTTTCCTCTCAGTAAATGGAGTTTGGATGGGCATCTGGATGAAAGAAAAAAACACCAAGCAAAGATGCTCTTTTTTCGGTTACTTTACTTGATCCACACAAAAGAAAAAGAAGTAAAAGAAGACTTAAAGTAGTTGTCACTTTGAAAATTTCCAGTGTTTTAATTAAAAGCCCAAGAGTCTGGCAAAATTTGTCAAGCATTTCCTTTGAAAATAAAGGCCAGTTTAACCTTCAAGGCAGTTTCCCTAGGTTGTTAATACAGTCCTAACCTAAAGTTGTGCTAAATAGCAAGGTAAGATTGGGTGTGCTTCAGATCCTTTTGAAGTTAGTGAAAATACATACTCTCATGGTCTTCAGCAGGCTTTGACTTTAAAGTTGTAATTCTAAATTTAGGTTTATTTATAATTGTCACTTTTGCTCTGTTAACCACTTCATAATTAGCTGCTTTTTTTGTTTGTTTGTTTGTTTTGTTTTTTAAATCAGACTACACAGAGGGAAGTATATAAAATAAACTTCTAAAATATAAAATACTTTTTTACCATTATTTGCTAAAACTATGTATTTTCAGTAGAAGAATGAGGAAGAGATCAGAGGAAAACAAAAACTGAAAAAGAAAGGAAAGAAACTGCAGAGGTGACTAGCTGGCTGATGGAAAAGGAGAGGGCCTAGACTAAGACAAAAGAAATAAGATGAAAGAGAATGGAAATAGTGTCATAAAGAAAAATAGGTCAAAATTCAGATTTTTATTTTATTGTAATTATTGAAGGCAACAGTTTTGCCCTAGATTTAAATTAACACAAACAATGGCAGAATCTGACTAAGACTGAGACTGGCACACAACATGGTTAGCTAAACTCCGTTGTCTGAGAGGTTTTAAGAACTAAGCCTTCCTGTTTTTGTCATTCCTTATTCAGGGGTAAGAACTTAGCCAAGAGCTCAGGAACTGGTGGACTCTGCAGAATCTAGTGTGAACAGTTTAGTCAGAATGGCCACTCTTCCTGGAACATTACTTTCTTAACAAAGAAGGTTCTCTTTTAAGAATAATACCTGGAAAGGACTGATGCCTCGAGAAAAAACACCATTAACAAGCTGATCCTATTTTGTTTTTCTTTGATGCAATTTTAAAAGTGAGAACTGTATTCCACAGTGGAAGGACCATAGTCCCATCCAGACTGCTAATGTGATTTGGCAATGCAAAGCCGCATATCAAGATTTCAGTTCTTGGCTGCAGTTGCATTATTACACCCTGTGTTCTGTATGGGGAAACAACTGAAATGGGTTTGGCATACTAGAGGTAAGAAAGCCCAAATGACTGGAGAAGAGATTCCATAGATAAACCCATAATGTCTACAAAGGGAAGGTCTTTTGCATGCTAGAAAATACTTGAGATTAATTAACAGTTTGTTTAATAAAGCTGCAGCCAGACGTCTTTAACCCAAACACCTTTGTAGAGCACATTTATATGCAGAGCTGTAGGCAGTTACCAAAAGTATTATTCCATAATAAGAAAACAAAATTCATTTATGAAATAATATATGTGAGTTAATACATGAAAACAAAGAATAATATACACTTCCATTTAACATAAAAATAACTGTACATGCCAGACACTTTTGACAAGATCTCCTGGACATTTAAAAAGTACAATAAACATCTGTTTTATATCTGAATGCCAAACCTTAAAAAAGTGCTCTCTTGTTAAAAGTCCAGCTCCATATTTTAACAAAATTACAAGGTGTTTATAAAATATCATTCTCTTTTGAAGCAACAGTAAACAGGAGAGATACAGAACCCAGTAAATTGAAAATGCAGGCTTCAGCTGTCAAAATGTCACTGGTAAACTTCAAACTGCTCTGCTCGTATAGACTGTAACATAAGTAACATAAGTATACTCACCATTTGAAGGAAGAGTGAATGAGTTTAAGAGAATGAGTAGAATTTCTAAATAACTCATTTTTAAACAAAGGGAAAAAACAACAACAACAACAAAAAAAAGGACAATGGAAAAGGAAACAAAGAGGAGCCTGAGCTGAAGGTATCTTGATATTTACTGGGACATAATAGAATAAATGCGCTGGGCTGTAAAATAACACCATTCAGCACTGAAAGGACTAAACTCAATCAGGGCATCTTTTCTGATCATTTGATTACATCTGAACAGTGTTTGTTAGTATGTCTCTCTCCGTCTCTCTCTCTCTCTTTTTTTTTTTGACAGAAAACACGAAAACATAACACAACTTCGCTGCGTAACAGAAAACCTTCTCTAACCTCCTCTTGCTTGAATATATGAAAATATATCAAATTAGACAATGATCTGTTTAAATTAGAAAAAGAAAAAAAGGAAAAAAAAACACAGAAATAGTCATAAAGAAAGCTAAGGAAATATTCATTGCTAAGAAAAATAAGAACATGTTTGGGGACTATATCTGCTTACCTACAATTACTTCAAATGGTATGAACATGTTACTGGATTGCTTAAATCAACATTCTTATTAATATTATAGATAAGACAGAAATAATATATATGGTATATACATGCATGCAGGCACACTATTGTTTAGTATTTGAAGAAAAAAAGATACATTTGTAGGATATTGCATTGCATATTTCAGGAAAGTCACTGTTAAAATTGTTTTATTAGAGATGATTATGTTTTAAATCAGACAGCTCATGCACTAAATCCAAAGGTTGCCAGAGAACAGTAGAAATACGCAACATTGCCAAAAGCCAAAAGAAGAAGCAGAATGATCACAGTAATTACAGGTTAGTGAGTCTGGCAACAGTCCCTAGCAAAGTAATGGAAAAGCTGATAAGGGATTCAATTAGTAGAAAATTAAAGGATGACGGTATAAATGGTGCCAGTCAAGAAGACTTTATGGAAAAATAAGTATTGTCAAACAAACTGATGAAGGTAACAACACAGATGTATAACTTATATAAGGCATTTGACTTGGAACCTCATATAGCCCTAATAAAGCACTAGCACTGAGTAAAACCATTTATGAAAAGTCAGGTGAATGACAGTAATACCTGTAAGTGCTAGCACTTGCCATTTTCCTGCCTGATACTGACCTTGCTGACTGTGTGGAGTCTGGCTAAACATGGTCAGGTGAACCAAGCAGAAAAGGAGTCCTCTGATAAACTGTCACCAGGGAACCACAGCAAGAAAACAACAGCAAGAAACGGGAATGAAATCCTGAAGGTAGTGACAAAGCCTCACTAACTTCAATAGCGATAGCTTTTATCAGGTTTGTAAAGAAACCAAAGACTAGGAAACATCTACAGAGTTTGCTTTCAAGGACAACATGTATTATGAGACATGTACTTGAAATCTGGATGGAGATCAGAGTTTCCTAAAATCTGAAGTTCAGTCCAGAGTAGTGGACAGGTTCTACTCCATTACAAACATAGATTTTGAAGGATTTGAGACAAAATATATAGACTGATTCCTTGAAGTTACAACAGAAGATCTGAATCATAGTGCATTCCAAGTCCTACCGAACAACTAAGTCTAGTCCCAACAGATTTGTGTACGTAGATCACAACACAGATGCTTTCATGTCTCATGTCTCTTAGGAACACTATATGTTTTGTCTGCTTTGTTTCTTAATGATTTGCAAACTTTCAAAACTTGACTGTGTTGCTACTTTGCTTCTGGGTTCAAGAAAAGACAAGAATCCATAAACCTTTGATCCACATGCTACAAATGTACTAGGAAAAAAAAGAAAAAGAAAAGAAAACACAGTGCTGTCAACAGAAAGATATAATGGTCGGTTTGTATGAATGGAGATGATTAATTCCAAGACACATGATATATGAATAGTGTTTTTATTTTGTTTTGTTTTGAAAATTCATTTCTCTGTAAGAACAATTTTTATGCAAAGTATTTCAGAGAAAATTATATATCAGATTAAATCACAAAGATACTTTTTCTGTTCTCACCACAAAAAAAAAAAAAAAGAAAGGATGACTAGTTTCATGGTTAGCTCCAGGAAACAAACAAACAGATAAATAGGTCATTAATGTTTTCATTAGCCATAGGTTTAACAATCTAAAAGATTATTAGATCTCTTAATAACTACATTTTCAATTATCACTTTTCAGAAAGTATGGGCTATGATTTCTGTACATCTCACTGTAGGAAACTTGGCCTGATCAAAAAAAACACACACACACACAAACAAACAAAACCAAAACAAAATAAAAACAAACAAACACAGAAGATTTGCATTCAGAAACAGCCCTGTTTTAACATCTTCTTTTACCTAGAAGAAAATGCAACTGTATGACAGCTGCTTAACCGGATGAAGGGCAGTATCTGACTACCTGGTGTTGGCAGTTTTCCTTCTGCTCAGCTAGATGTCTAAGTAAAAGCTGAGCTTCTAGTCTAAGTCAGTTGTCTTGGCTCCCTCTATAGTCAAAAGACAGAAATAGACACTTCTGGAGGGCAACTGTTCTCATTAATACCACTCATTTGTCTTTGGTGGAGTGATCCCCAGTAACTGCCAAGGAAACCATGATGAGCAGCCTAGATTGCTCAGACATTCAACAGTCAACACCAGGTGAGATGAACTATAACGACTGGTAGATGAACTATAATGGCTGGTACAACTGATGTGTGTAGTTAACTCCAAAGTACAACTATGCCCATTAGTTCAGTCACATAGGTCAGGTTTCAAAAATCCAGATAAGCACTTGTGATTTGACTCAACCTTTGGAATTACACATTTCATATTTGAATCAAATATAGCTATAAACTGAAATATGAGTTCCTTATACATGTCTTAGAGAGGAGTATTATGAAAATGGCTAGCTGAGGGCAAAACTAGTCGGGTGCCTTATAGCTTTTTCTTGACTCATGGAGCAAGCCCACAGTTTGCATTTTGCCTACATCCCTCTCCAAGAATGTGGGTAGATGGTTGTTCACAGTTTTTCAGCTTTGGTGCAGGGTCCATGCAAACTATAATTTGAAAGTAATTGTGGTAATTACTGTAACTACAAAAGTTAAAATGCACAAGTTTAATTTTGCTCACATAAAGCTGTGCCAGTAATGGCACCATTCATCATTTTCTGTAGAAACAATAACAGGTGTTAATCTGCAACCAGCAATGGGTGCAACAGGAGTGCACAATAAGCAAAGTGCTAAAAAAGAAAAAACACTGTTAAAGCTCTCTGTCACAGAAAAAACTACTACTAGTAATGTCTCTGTAGTTGAATGCAACCGAAGAATGAAAAATTATTTGACTCTTCAGTGACAGAGACTGTTAATGAAACCAAGTTTTATTTTCCACCTTGATTAGCTTTATGCAGAAAGATCCACTGTAGCTCTGCACAGTGAAGTTCAGAGGAATAGATACCCAGCTGCTGTAATTTTGTCAGCCCTTCCACTTACAGAAAGTTTTTTTGTTTGTTTGTTTGGTTGGTTTTTTTTTTGACAGGCTGCTGAACTGTTACTGGGTTTTCAAACATAATGGAAAACAGCGGGGAGTAGAATGGGGAGTAGAATTTAAATATGACTTGAACAGCATTTTTGCTATTTTTTTATCTTTAACAGCAACCTTATAGTATTCTTAAATGCCTCTCACACATCCTGTTTTCCCAGGTTTCTGGATGTTAGATACTCTTGGCATTGTATAGTTGGGTTTGCTTATTGCTGTTCAAAACTATCTTCTGGAGTAAAAGGATAGACAAAATCTCCTGTGCTTTTTGATTGTATAAACTTATTCATTTGATAGCATCCAATTTATCTACAGAGCTTATTTAAGCATGTAGCAAAGCATTTTCCATTGTGTATGCACAATTAGATCATCATACTGCACTGTTAGTTTCTGCTATGTATTTCAGAGAGTTCAAAAGGTAACCTCAGGTGTATCTGCATGGTTTTGCTTTTGCTTAAGTAAATGAGTTTATGTGTGCTGCATGATACCCACAATTTTGTTACTAACAGCTACTTCTATTTTGCACAGCCAAGAGCCATTTTGTTTCAAAACACACCCCATGATCCTGATGTGCCCCATGGTGCTGCAATAGCATTTGGGAAACAACAAAGCCAGCTGCATGCCCTTCCTCTTGCTCCAACTGATGAGGGGACATACAACCCTGTCTGGAGAAGCTGTCAGGTGGGTGCAAGCATGATACATGTGCAGCTGGAAACCCTTCTCTCTCCTCCTCCCTCGAAGTCCCTGTCACATCCCACTCTAAATTAAAGCACATAGTAGTTAAGGCAATAATGCAAATATTTTACATGGCAAATTGCAGCATAGATGTGTGATGGCAGAATGTAGAAGAGTATAGAAAGCAAATGCTCTGTATTGCCAGGCTCATTTTGAAGAGTATCTCCTAGAGTTACATGAATCTAACTGAATGCTAATAACTATATCCAAATATATTCCAACATATTTGTTTGGTGTTATTAAACTGTATTAAACTCATTTCATACAGAAATATTAACTTTTCAAAAAATGTATTTATACAGCAATATTTTCCTTACACATTTTCTGATCTGAACAATATTCTGCCTTACCAGAGTGACTGTTTATGAGTTTAATTCAGGACAGCTGTTGACTGGATGACAGGACAGGACCCTGATGAGATCTGGGTGATGTCTCCATTATCTTGGGTGTGGTAATAATGATGTGGCCACTGCAAGGTCATGATCTAGTTTTAGAACATAACATGTCAAGTTAGTGACTGAAACATTAAAAAAACAAGCAATCGTGATATTCAAGACTTCCTTTTTTCTGGTCTTTCTCCAAAAGAGGGAATCAGACCTGCAAGCTTGTAGACAACTTTTGCTACTCACTTGCCATGGCTGCAGTGAACACCAGCTTGAGGCAGAGAGGCCAGAGCTGGGGATGAGCTGAAACTGTCTACACCAGACTGCTGCAGTCACCCAGTGCAGCAGCCCCATGGCTCAGTTAAGGCAGCACCAGAAATCTCAGGGTCTTCACTGGGCTTCTACCCAGCATCCTGCCTTAGGGGAGGGAATGGGAAAAATCACAGCAGACAGTGGGTAGGAGCTGCTGTTATGAGGTGGCATGATTGAAAGACTTTTTAGGCAGGAGGAAGGTTAGAGGTACAGTGGGTGAGTCAGCTTTTGGGTAGCATCATGCTACTGAGAATCTGGTCCACAGAGGGCTTGCTGAAATAGAATAAGAACACGATAAGCAAAGCAAAATATTTTTACATAAATAATTTTTGTAAGTCAATCTCAAAGTATTTCACAATGGAAGGACCATCTTTTTCCTTTTTACAAAAGGGGAAACTGAGGCACAGAGAAAGTATATAAAAATATATAAATTCCAAATTCCTCAGGTTTACAAAGAATTTCCTCCTGATCAGAAATCAGAATTTCCCACTCAATAGTTATTCTGGAATCAAAAATGAAGTACTGCAAGGCAGAAAAATGAACTGAAACATTAATATTAACATTAAGCCAAAAGCTACAAAACATTGTCACTTAAAGCCACTGAAACAGTCTATTTTGAATGTCCTTTGTCATTGTATTCTGTAACAGTGTTAAAAAGGTATAATCAATAATACAGTGTAAAAGTCAAATTAGAGTAATTAAAATGATTAAATAGATTTCTTATTGAAACATATGTCATTAAAAAAATAAATAACCAGTTTTCAGTGTAGGTCTTGTACATTTTCTCCTAAAAAAAAAAAAAAAAAGACATTTCTGTTTATATAAACAAATTTTGCAAACTACTTCAACTGTGAAAACAGTGAAAACAGTGGTTTTTTTTATTTTGTTTTGTTTTGTTTTGTTTTTACAGAAAGGGGTTCAGTTTAAACTTTATCTAAAGTCTTTTCATGTTGATATTATATTGGCTGTGTTTTATGCTGTGGAATTACTGTCATGTCCAGTGATGTCAGCATAGACCATATCATTAACTTAGGGGTTCACCACTTCAACCAAGTGTTTAGCTTTCTGGGTTAAAGGGTTGGAGTAATTTATTTGTTGGATAAATGGAGATTTAGGCTTGAAGCATAAGTGCTGTTTGGAAAATACGTGCTATTTACATTGTACACAAATATACAGAGATATGAAGGAATTACTATGTGAATGTCTGACATAAAAGCACCAAGCTTAAATATGTTGTGTTCTGTATGTGCCAGTCAAGAAAGATCTTTTAAGACAAAAACTTTGGTAATGATTGCACATGAACTCTAACCAAGAAGCAACTTTTAAAGAACTAATTTCATCCTATATTGCAGAATGAATACAGCTAGTAAAAGAGGAGCTATAATTTAACTGAAACTGCTGAAGTACAAATTAAGGCACATATTCATTGTCAACAAATTCAGTTTCCAAAGACACATGCAGTTTGATACAGAGGCAGACGTGAGAAGCACATCTGGCTCAAGCACAGCTGGCACCTTTCTGGGAACGGGCCAAAAGTCCCTCTGACACCCACAAAGCTCCCAGTGCTGGAGACAACCAAGAATACAGGGCTAAAATTTGGCAGCTACTTATCAGCAAGCAATTTAGAAGCATAAGATATCTAAGCATGTAATTACATTTTCTTAATTCCTCAAAGACAGACTGCTGGTTCACACAAGCTCTCTTCAGGAAATCAGGAAGAAATTGTACGGACTTTCCAACTGCAGGATTGGGAAGCTCACAGAGTCACAATTATGATATCAGAAAAAAAAAATTATACCACAAATATGTCATATAAACTGGAGAGAATGGATATGTATGTATGGATAAACACATACCTGCTGCATTGATTGCATTTTGTAACAAAAGTGATGAAGGTATGTGTGGTTTTGGTGGGACAGCTCAGGCACGGATCATCTACAGCAGCACCCATTGCTCATACTGTCTTTCTCTCCATAGTTCCTGAAAATAAGCAAAAACATATTAAAAATCCAAATTGCACTTGAAATGATGACTGTGCACAAGGACTTAAAGTGTTTGCAGTATGAGGAAAAGTTGAAAGAAAATAGAAAGGGTCTCTGACAAGAAAGAAAAAAAGAAAGCTTTGAGATGGCAACACATTTTTGGAGCATAGGTAAATTCTCATAAATAAAACAAATTCTCTCTTTTTGTATTAGTTCATGACTCCTAGTTATATTAGTGGGATTTTCTTCAACACACCTTGTGACACAATATAACATATTATTAGTGATGGACCTATTGACACGTACATGTTTTACCTGTTTCAGATACTGAGACTCATCTGTAGAGAGAGATTGTGCCAATTTTAAAATAGCAGATAAAAACAACATCAGTACAGCTTTTCTCCTGGTGCGAAGTGATGTGGCTCATTTGGTCTCATTGAAGCTGTGCCTGTGTGCAGCTGGTTTGCCTGATCTTCATGTGTGATTTCCCCTTGGGATGTCTCCCCTTGATTTTGCTGGATTTGCAGCTGCAGAGAGCATATGTATTTGGATAATGGATCTGCCTCATTCAAAATTGCAGCCTTTGAGAAAGACCAGCAGCTAAGCAGCACACCCAGAAACTTTAGCAGGAAATGAAGCTTTTTGTGATACAGAGAAAAAAATTCTGTGTGGGTTATGTTTTTCATATGAATATAATTTGAATATAATTAGATATTCTACATATTTCTTCCCCTCTCTGGCTGATCCTTGCAGATCAGTGAGTGAAGACTTTCCTGAGTGATCCTGCTTGTTTTTAATAATTTATATATATGTAAAAAGTTCTCAGAACTGTAAAGCCTATTCTCATTTTTTTTAATCACAGAATTTATATAAAAGCTCTTATCAGTTTTAGAGGTTTGCAACAGAGGGCCAAAAAGAGAGTTACTTATTCTGTTTTAGAAGAGCACAGAGCACAAAAAAAAAAAAAATAAATTAATTAAAAAAATGTAAATCACGTAGGTGGTTTTGGTGCCAGCAAATAAACAGAAAACAGGAAATTTAAATGTAAAGTCCACATTCCTTATCAAAAAAAAAAAAAAAGATAAGACGAAGGGGTCATTGCTCATTTTTTCCCAATATTACATTAATATAAATGTCTATTTGTGAAGTAGAGGAAGGATGCAGAGAGTGATAGCATATGTATCTGATATGAACTCAACATTTAGCTTCATAATTATTTTTAATAAAGGAGTATAAAAATACCAGTATTTTAGCCATTTATGACACAACTTGTATATTTTTCTTACACTTTCCAGCTGTTGAATTTATTCCACCTTACATATATATATATAATAGGTTTCTATAAATAGGTAGATTAAATAAAAGAAATTATGTGTGGGATGTGATTTCTCATTATAAAAATGTTTCTACCATTCTGGCTTTAGAGATAACTTTCCAAACATAAATTGCTTCAGTAATTAGTTTTCCTGAATACATTACATATAATTACATAAATATGTGGGGAGCATTTATTGTCTGAAACACAGAAAACACATAGAGTCCTAGGGTAAATAGAAATGTTTAGTCCTACTTTAAAAAACAACACAAAATATTTTTTACAGTTATGAAGCTTTTTTGACATATATATGTTTTACTGTTGTCCTTGCTTTCTAGAGCTGTCGAAGTCATCTTTAAATTAAAAAATAAATAAATAAACATAAGTTCCATTTTTCTTTTTGCTGTTGTGGTTTAGCTCCTCAGATGTCTTGACAAATACAGTAATACTAACTCTACTTTATAGATCTTGAGACATAAATACAATTTAACTTCATGTCTCCTGTCACCATTTGCAGTTCATTGGAGGACCTGAAACTCATAACATTTACAATAAAACTCTATACACTATACTCTTGATTAATTTTCAAATGACTAATTATTGGTTGCACATGCCCTAGACATGGAAGCCTTTTTAATTATTATTTTTATTTTCATCATTGCTCCACTGTTTTTACTAGAATGAATTTTAAAACTTGATCTGGAAGAAGCCTTGTGGCACAGGGATGGAGCAGGAGCACAGTAAGGGCAGGAGCACTCATGCAATGAGCTGCAGTGCCCTACATGGAAATCTTGCTCTACTTCCGTTTTGCAAAAAAATAATAAAGTGAGTTAGAATTACAAAGAATTTGGTGATGCAAAGAAGGAGGAGGTCACTAGAGGAAAAAAAATGGGTGGGAAATGGAGTAATGCTGAGCTTTTTCTTTTTTTTTAGCTTTTTGAATCAAATGATGCCTGCCTAGAAATCTGTGGTAACTTCCACAATCTTGTGTGGGGCCTGGACATAATCTTCTACAGCCACGAGTCAAACATTTTTGTCCATGAGGAGAGAAAAGAAAGATAAGCGATACTGCAGAAAAAAAAACAGTGCAAGTATTCCTAGCACACACAGTGAATGGAATAATGGTATCAAATCCTACAGAAAATATTAAAAGCCTACATTTTTATTTTAAAAAATACTATGGTTGTGTAGATAGTGTGCTGTTAAAGCATTTCTTACTTTGTAATTTTTTAATGTATTTTATGATGACATCAGTTAAGGACACATCACTTCTTGGGGATTTTGTGCAGAATCTTAATGTTTACACTAACAACATAATTTCAGAAAGTATCTTATGTAAATCCTTGAATCTCCTAGGGTCTAGGAATGAAATGTAATGCTAATTTGATTTAGTAATTTGTTCTCTCTCCCCAGAAACACACAATTACTGCTTTTGAAATACTTTTTTTTTTTTTTCTTTTTCCATCACTCTTGTACTAAATTGAAAGTTGAGTCGGCAGCAAAGCCCAGGCTGGGAAGGTAGCAGACCTCTGTTGCTCAGCCTGTTACAAGCCAGAACATACAGTGCTGGGAGATTTATTTCTGAAAATGGAATGTTCATTATCTTTCCTTTTTTCTTTTTCTTCCAAAAAATGGAAATAAAATAATTCTTCTTGTAATTCTGTAATAGTAATCTAAACGTGAAATGTGAGCTGAAAATAATGTGCTTCTCTGTGTGTCTAGAAAAGAGAGGGTTTTTAGTTATGTGTGTGTCTGCAAGAAAGAAGGGGGAGGTTGTGTGTGTGTGTGTGTGTGTGTGTGTGTGTACAGTAGTGTAGAAATAGTTTATCAAATGAGTGGTTTCCTGTCCTGATCTGTAGATTTACTTTCTTCCGTGAAAGGAAATGGAAATAATTGATCTGACTTCCATCAGCACATAAAAGAGATTGTTGGCAACTTGTTTTCTGCAGGGCTACTTAAAGATATGATGATGTGGTAGAAAAGCAGAAAAGATCACCCACAAATTCTGCAGCAATCACAAATATGTGGTAGGCACACCCAGGGGACTGATACCTTCCGTTATTTGCAAAGTGACTTTTTTTTCTTGCTTGCTCTCTCCCCTTTTCTCTGCCTTTAAGGATACACAATGTCCCTCCAGGTTCTGCAGTCTGGGTTTGATAAAATAATTACGAACTTCAAGCAGCAAATCTATCATTTACATTCCTGAACATGCCAACATATGCCTTTTGTGGGGATGCCAACCAATACCAAAGCTTCTCTCATTATTGTCACTGTAAATACAGTGGTTCAATGTTTGTGCTATTTCCTGGATTTTGGCGACATAATGTTGCCCAGCAATTTGCTACCAGTGCCAACAACACTAAAGACCTTCAAAACAAATCCTTTCTATATTTACTCAGTCCACCACTGTGTCACTGAAATTAGCATTTTACGATCTTGTGCTCCAAAGCACCTACTTTCTCTCTTATAAATCCATGCTATTATGAATCCTAACAGAAAATCCATCAAAGCATGGTTTCTTCAGCTTTTTTTATATAGTGATTGCTGTCAGTCATGTTTTCTGAAAGGACTTGGAGCTCGTAGATCCATCACAGTTGATAGTAAAGATAAACCAAGCAAGAAAGAGTGTTTAATTCTGAGATGCTACAAAGAGCTTGGCTTAAAATGTCAGATGCCGCCACTTCATTCAGGCTCAAGTACAGAGGACAGAACTTACAAAGAGAGAAAGATACCAAAAAGTAACAGGGCCAGATTCTGCTCTGAGCTCTGGATGGGTAAGCTCTGTTCCTTCAAGTGACAGGCAGAGTGAAGAAGGTGAGTTTGACTTAATTGAATGGCAATATCATGCTCATGATGGAAAATAAAAAGCAGTACAGGTGCAGTCCTCAGGGGTATTCCAGCCAACTTGTTGTGGAAACCATGGGACCACTGCGGCTCAAATATTGACCCTAGGTAATCCAGCCCTTTGCTTTAAAATGGTGTAGGATAAAATAAAACACTGCTTTTTTTTTTTTTTTTTTTTTTTTTTTTTTTTTTTTTTTTGCATTGAAATACTCCCAGGGCACTCCTGTGAACCCTGAGCCTAAGGTCCTGTCCGAGTGGTCAGTATGGGGCCAAATTCCACTCATTTGTGGTCTTAGCAATGGATGGTGCAACTACGGGATCTTCTTCCCAGGAGAAGTAACAGCTACTGTCCAAGCAGGGGAGCAGCCGGTATAAAGATTGAGGGGAAAACAAGAAGCAAGGATTTTCTAGGAAAAGGAAGAGTAGATCTGTCGGAAGGAAAAGAGAGCAGAGGGAGATAGTTTCAATTATTTCAGTGGGGAAAGTGAAAGCAATGCTGTCTGGAAAGAGGAGAATGTCTATAGAAGAGAAGGTGTGTGAAGAGACACTGTGGGACACGCAGTAGTTTTATTTGTTTCTTGCTGAAATAAATGGTGGTTGGAATGTTTTGACTGATAAGAAGGGAATTATTGCTATCCTCTCGTAACCCCCAAAAAGCTCAACAGATTTTGCAGAATATTCTGGCACAGAGCAAGTCCATAAAAAAAAACATTCATCCCCGAGAACAGAGTATTTTGGAAACGTGCATGTGTGGAATCACGAGGCTGGGACAGAAACTGCTACATAATCTTAGCTCTTGTGGCAAAAGCAGCTCCCACAGTACTGTGTGATGTGGGTGC